TTTCACTAGCATTGATTTCCCACTCATGGCACTTCACTAACCAAGAGGGGATCAGTGATCCGCTGTAGACTCCACGCATGCAACAGAATGCTAGATTTCGTTAACTGAAAAATGAGTTGGATTGTAAATCGATTTCAGTTATTGATGAACTGATCCGAAGAATTAGCAAATTGAATAGTTTTGATGTGAACTGAATATAGTATGATTCGAAAATCACCACGTATTTCACGTATGACGTGTGTAGTGCCGACGGTGGTAGTTACTGCTATCGTTGTTCATGTCACTGAGCTGGAAATCAGAGCTGACGGAACCGAGGAATGGTGGGTTTCCTTGCTGGAAGGTGTCTGTATATGGGATGCTTGTGATGCACTGCAACTAGACTAGTATGGTGGGTTGTTTGACCAGGTAAATCACAGATGAGGACTCTGCACCTCTTCGAGACCCTGGAAGCAAAGTTCTGCTCCAGACCTTCTTGCCGTTGAAGCGGTTCAAGTAACAGGCCTCAGCAAGCAGTATGAGAACATACTTTTCTGCATTTCTTCTGCTCCTTCCCCATACTACTAATTTCATTGACTTCTTCCGTTTTTCTACTGTATTTCGCTCACGTCTTTCCCTGAATTTTCCGATGACTGGTAAGGACTAATATCGTTGCTGAAGTTGGTGGATTGATCCCACCAGACCAGTCGCTGACCAGTTTTTCACAATGTTCAATAAGTCTCCTCTGATAACGACTTTATATACGAACTTATTGTGATATATGAAAGTTTAGATGTCGGTTTGGTAAATCACAACTACCTAAACATGGACTTATATCTAATGTTGTAAAAGCCGTACAGGAGAGTGAGTTTTTCATGATAGCAGTTATCGTTTGAAAAATCAATGCTCGTTTACACCGCTAGTCCTACGATTCTTTGATTTCCAATACTCGGATTAAACACTGATTAGACGAGGCCCTCATTTTTTGCTCCTTTCTTCACGCCAAGTATTTATCCTGTTTTCGTGATAAAAACCGGCTCCGTGTGGAAGGCAAACGGTCGCCTCGAATTTAGCTAAGATCGTACTAGGATCACTTGTGCTTATTATCGCAGTTGTATAATATTATTTAATTCTTTTTTTCTTCAGGAACTATATCAGATTGTTATTTAGTACCGGTATCGTATACATATGACAGCGTTGCCGAAGGTGTGTTTTTGGACGAACTGATGGGAATACCCAAAGTAAGTTTCCTTTTGCTAGAGATATCT